AACCAAGATGATTCTATGCACATTTGAGTATGAGAACATGTTGTCTTAGAAGTATGTTTAGAGATTTGTTTCCTTTCTTTTTAAGATTTTATTGCAAATTACTACTACCCTAACAATGATATGATTATTAAGAGCTAGTATTTGTTATTTTTTTGTAAGCTGGCATGACCCTAACGACTTTACATGCATGATAACTTATGTCATGTGAAATAGATGCTGTCACAGATGGGAACTCAGCACAGAAAGACCAACCATGCAGTTAATCCAAAGCCACTCACACACCTTCCGTAGAAGTGGATTCTGGTCTGTGTCTGCCTCCCTCTCATCTGGAAGTGGTTTCCATATTGTTTGTTCATGATAGGGCCATTTCCTGTGAATTTCCATATCTACTACCCTCATGTTGCCTGTGTTCCTGTACCCATGCACTTCAGGATAACATGTCTTAGTTTACCTTCATTGTCCATGCCACAAGCCATACTTCCATTTGCAGCTGAAGTCCTTATTTTGAGGTGTTTAGATATGTGATATAGGTATTTGCTCAAGAATATAGAAGTTCATGCTTTGGAATATGCATTTTTATCTCTGCCCCTGAAAGATTTCTGTAAGAGGCAGGATGGCTCTGCTATCCCAATCACCTCCTCACTCCTAAAGACAAGTCACTACCAAAGAAAACCAAATTCCTACCGTGCTGAAGATAGAGAAAAAATACTTTATAATGGTCTACAAGCCATGCAGTGATATTCAGGGTAGACTTTTTCCTAGTGCATATGAATTAGCCAGTCTCAGTTCACATTCTTCCCATTTCTCTTTCCCCTTTCAGTCCTCACCCTCCCTAGACTTGGGCCATCACATGTCTGTGTGTTCTAGATCTTCTGCCTGCCATGCTTTTCCCTCCTTATTCAGATATCAGACTGCATTTGACCTTCTCAGGGAAAAACCTTCTTTCTCTGCCCCTCTGCCAAGGCTAGGCTGACGATATTGCCACTGTTAAAATTTGCCTTTGCTTAAGGGATTATTTGATTACTGTTAACCTCACCTGTCACATCAGGTTTTCTTTGCTTGATATTAATAGTCCCTGGAATATGGAAAGAGTCAGTAAAATATATATTGAATTGGACTTGGGTTTGAGTTGTAGCTCTCCCACTTACTATGTAATTCTGAACGAGTTACTTACAGAAGATTCATTTTGAATACCCTGAGAGTTAGTTACACCTGTAATCCTAGCACTTGAAGGGTAGGGAAGGAGGCTCTACAATTTGAGACTAGTCCAGGCTGTATAGTGGAGCTTGAACTGGGGCTTGAACTCTGGATCTGGATGCTGTTTCATAGCATTTTTGCTCAAGGCTAGCCCTCTACCACTTGAGCCACAGTTCCATTTCTGGCTATTTTTTTCCTTCCTTTATGTAATTAGTTGGAGATAAGAGTCTCAAAGACTTAGTGTCCTAGACTGGCTTTGAATCTTGATGCTCATCTAGCATTAACACATGTGAGCCACCAGAGCCTTCCTTATTCCCAATATGGTTTTGGATTCTTTCTCACCACTCAACCATAGTGGGACATGTTCTACTTCCTTTAATGTATCTTTCTGCATTCTTCTCTGTGAATGTATCTTGAAGCATGGTCAAGGCTAGTCTGGTTTCCTACTATATAACTTGCCCAGGCATTCTTAGCTAGGATTTTTGTGATGTAAGAGGTTAGGATGACTTTAGATTTTCTTATATACTTTAACTGTAACCATATCAAGAATTTGGTTTCAGTTTCAGCAAAAAACAATTTAAGCAGTTGCTCAGATGAAATACATTAAAAACTTTGCCAATTATCCCAAATTACATTTGGAATTTAACTTGAACAGTTGTTCACTGTCAGTCTGCAAAAACATCCAGGTATTTTCCTTGTAACATACTTTCCTAGTATACTTTCTTCGAATTTCAGGCAATTGCAAAGTATTTGTATCTATGTAAACATGTGACTTTGAGATAACAAAAATGTATAAATGAGTAAAATAAAAATAGAATGATTTCTTTCTATCATAATTTTCAAATTCTTTAGAAGATAAGGATTAAAAAAATCCTAAGAGGGGCTTAGTACATTTTTAGACACCCCACTCAGTAGCTGGATTTGCTGAGAATTGCCCATACCATCCAACCTTGTATATGGGAAAACATGAGAAAGATAAGTAGAGAGAAATAGTTGGTTTTTCTAGTCTCTTCCCATTCATTTGGAGCATTGAGACATGTACTTATATGTATCTTGGTTGCCAAATCCACTGTCCTTTTGGTGGTTTGCCTTTTGCCCTTACAGCAGTTGAGAGTTCATCACCAACAGATGGATCTATCTGCGGTCATTATGTTACTCTCCTTTTCAGCAACCTTCATTACTGTCTGACAAAACTTTCAATTTCCCAGACCTAGTAGTAGTCAAGACTGTCTGAAGCTTTAACTATTCTAATCTTTTTGTAGAATAAGCTATTCATGTCTTTCATACATTTCTTGCCTTGTACCATCTGTCTACTGTTAATCTTGTTTGTCAACCATGGTTGACAACCATCGTTTGTCTACCAAAGCCTTACTACTAAACTTTAAAAATTAGAAAAAGTTCACATGGGAGGATTTTGGATGGGACTGTCAGTTGTCTAGAGATGACTCCTCTGAAACTTTTGACCACTGAGTTTGTGCCACGTTGGCTTTTCAGGACCAAATATAACCTATAGAGTGATGTTGCTAGAGTGGTTGTTAAGTTCCGAGTCTTTGTTAATCCTGTTATCATTTTACTAACTTTAGAGCAAGCTAGATACATATTATAAAGAACATGTCTGATTCTAAAAATATAGTAATGGTACAGGTGAGTGTACAGAGAATCAGGTGAATGGTCCAAGGAAGATGACCTAAGCATTCCACCTTTTCTATAGTCAATATTTTCCTCTATAGCACAGTTGGAGCTCTGTGAACAAGATTGTGTTTATGTTAAGAATGCGTATGATAACAACAGCCTAAATTCTTATAGAGATTGCCTTTGTAACTAGATGTGAAAGTGCTTTCTCAGGGCTGTGTGTTAATGGAGCTGAGGCTAAAGAGCATTAGCTCTTTCATTTTACTGTTAGAATAGTTGGACTTTTAATTGATCTAGTACCTCCTGAACACTAGTTGCTGAAAAGAGTTTTTCCTTTTTCCATCTACCACACTTTTTATTTAATGCTTTAGAGAAGTTATTTATTTACTGGGCAAATATTTAAGGAAAACTTACCATATTCCAGACGTGTGTGTGTGTGTGTGTGTGTGTGTGTGTGTGTGTGTGTGTGTGTGTGTGTGTGTGTGTGTGTGTGTGTGTGTGTGTG